CGCCTTAATCACCACGGGGCGCCGGACGAGGGTCCACGTCGGCACGCGCACGCGCACAGTTACATAATTGACCGAAATCGAATTGTGAACCTAACCCGCCTAGACTAAAAGTCCCAAGAATAGATTTAACTACCTGAACTGAATGGCCTAAAATATTGCGGACGACACCTAAAAAGGGGAATATAATGTGGCTCACATAGCAGTAACGAGGGGGGGGGGTACTTGAAGGATTTAGGGACCAGGTGCGCACCCGTGTTCACCGCGTGACCTTACTTGAGATGGAGTCGCTGACATGATGGCCGTGTCCGTCCAGCGCCCGGCCCGGCGGCCAGAGCCGCCGCCGGCGCCGTGACGCCCAGGCCCATGTCGTCCCCTATCTCCGCGTGTGTCCACTAACACGAATGACGTCACGCATGTGGGCGGAGCTATGGGCGGAGCCTAACGCACGCGGCAGTCCAAGCCGCCATATTTGAATTTATATTTTAATAGAATCTTGCCGATATTTTGGTTGAAGTCAATTTATATGGATAGCTTGGTGACAGTTTAGCTATACGAATAATAATTTATTATGGATGTGCGTATATTCAGCTTGGAATTGCAATTAAAGTTCCGCACCGCATAGATTCGAACTCGGGACCTTTGGAATACTGCTCGGGCACGCTAACCACTACACTACCGCGACCGCGCGGCGGCTGGCGGCAGGGAGGCTGCGGAGACATGGGGGGACATTTTACGCTTTTGTGAAAAAAGCAAAAGATTTAGCAAAAAACACGTAATAGATAACTTGCAGAAAATTGTCTGCTCTTTCAGATAAGATACTTAGGTTTGATATATCTTGTGCAGACTTCATTCTACAGTGCTTCGAAAATCGCTCATTTACATGGGGATTGAACGGGGCTTCGAGACTTGACTCCAAATGACGTCACGAGCTGACGTCACGAAAAGGTAGAATCGCCGGACGACCCTACCTGGTATATAGGGCCTTGGTGACGCCAGCCGCTGGTGTCTCGTGGGCTGTCCGCGATGTCAGATGTCAGCCGAGAGCGAAGGGCGGCGTCGAATGCGTCGTCCGAGGGAGTGCCACAGAGAGCGTTCTAGTTCCGTTTCATCAACTTATACTTTTGATGACGTCATACTTCAGAGGGCCGGGCAGCATCTCCTTGTCCAATCTTCGTCCTCCATTCTCAGAAAGTGCGTTTGGCTCCGCCTTCAAACGTTCGTGATTTGCTGAAGTTCGGCACCCCCGGCCATGGCAGTCACACCCTTTCACGCAGCGGTCGGGTGGAATTCGCCGCCGGCGATCACGGCGTCTGGGGCGCCAGGTGGCGGAGCTGGCCTTCCGCTCCCCTTATTTTGAAGTCAGCTCCGGCCAGATGTCCTATATTTTGTCGTTGGTGACCGAGTTCCATTTCATCCTGTTTTCGTACAAACCGGGTCGGTCCCCGCTCCCCTTTCTTGTTTTGGTTCAAATCAGGGCCGGTCTGCGCTCCCCTCTCCTTGTTCTCTGGCGGGGTGCCGAGCGTGGGACAGAGTGTTGTTTTCCAAAGGCTACTGATTAATGGCTCGACACCGGCAGGATGGTGCGTTTCGGTACGCTATTTGTCGACTTCAGATCCGGGTTCTCATGAAGCGGGGTGGTCATCTATAGGGGACCCCTGTTTGTCAAAGCCGGCTGCGCCGTTTCTGTGGGCGCCGGCTGGGACGGAGATCGGGTATCACAGCCGATTTAGCCGGCTGACCGTGTCTGTGTGGCGCTCGCAGATGGCCGTGTTTCAGCTTGTGGCACAGCTTGCAGTTCAGCATGAAAGATGAAAAAAATGTAACGCATCTGCGTTACAAGTAATTTGATTTGGAAAGCAACAAATTTCCGCACATCATTTTAGCAAAATTACTATTTTCTTCAGCCATCAGGTTACACAAAACTATAGTAAACTTTATGATCTAGTTTACACAAAACCAAAGCCCCGATTTTAACAAATGTAGATTAAATTTAAACAATTTTAAAAAATGTATCGTGGAGAAAATGAAAAGTGTAGATTTGTAAAGCCGGGATATTTCACGGATTAGGCACTTAAAGAAATATCTTCACCTTTCTTTGAGCCACCAGCCTTCACCCAAGTTTTACACGAATGTAGTGAAGCAGACAATGTGGCAACTCAAAATTGTGACGGTTTGAGATAATTATGACGGTAAAAGAAAAAGCAACACAAGGTTCCTTACCCTCGTTTTTTCACATGGGTTCAGATGAGGCTTCAACTGTTGCCGACCTGAGGAGCTATAGGGACTTGAGCTTTCCAAAACTCAATTTCTAAGGGCACTGAGCAGTGTTTGGCTTTCACACGAATGCGATAGTAAGTTATATGAAGTTGACAAAGCAAGCAAAGCAAAGCATGATGCCCCGCGCGTCCGCCCGCGACGGACGCCGGTGAAAACAGGGCGCCGGAGGGCATATTAGTCACGTGACATTTGGAACTTCTCCCGCTCCAAGGGCCTTCTATATGCCAAACGTCACGTGTAAATTTCACGAACCTTGATCAAATCGCCCCAGGCGCCCTGTTTTCACCGTCGTCCCCCGCGACCACGCCCCGCGTCCGACTCCCGACCGCCGCGTGACCCGAGGCGCCCGGCGGTCACGTGACCTACCGGCCGGGACTGCAAACGGCCTTCACCACCATTCTTGTATGACGTCATATCCTACTGAGGTGCTGATTGGTCGGAATTAGATACCTGAAGGTAATTATCTGCCGTAGTTATTTTTGTTTCATTGTTTTGCGTGTTTTCTTATATGAAATGTAATTAAAAAATTTGCCATATTTTAATCACCATTAAAACATAACTGAATAGGTATGAAAGACAACTCGATATATACTTTCCTTGTTTTTAAGAATTCCGGAATTAGATACCCGAGGGAGCAAAGAGGGAGCAAGTTGCCACGCTGATTTGATACCTCATAGTCGAAAGGTGGGCTACTAGAACCGAAAATTGCTGTGTTTGTAAATAAATAAGTGATTTGAGGGCAAAGAATGCCCGGATTTAAACTTCTAAAATTATTTTGAACATAAAATATTTCAGTTTGAGGGATGTTAAGGCCTCAAAGAGTAGGTACTTTTTAGGTATCAAATAAGTTCCTCTGCGAAAGTTCCGTCGTGAAAACGGCTAATGAGTCGTGGCAAAGTTAAACTGAAAAAGGGGTGACTTTGCCACTATGTCAAAAAATGGTTTTTTAACGCTTGCAAATAATTTTTAAGCATTTTTGTTCCATTGTATGGGGGAGGGCAACCATCTTTAATTGTTTAATAGGAAAAATGAAGCAATGCAATGTTTTTTACTCTTTAGTGATGTACAAAAAAGGGGAGATACATTACTTTTATAATACATTATATTTGTTGAAAATTATTGACATTGATAGTAAATAGAAACTGAAAAATGGTTCAGAATAGATAAATAAGCAAAAACATGATTGTATCGGTACTCTAGGACCGTGCCGCTTTCTCCCAGCGGCATTGAGAGGAACGGAAAGAAGACGCTCTTGCGGCAACTTACCGGCACCCTTATTATAAGCGTTTTGATCTATAAAATGATACCGATTTCTTCAGCTAGTCTTACTGGCAAACTCAGGAGTTGTAGATGATCATGACTGTGCTGAAAAGTTGGGCCCAGCTTCATCCATTTTTTGAGTTTGGTAATTTTTGCCTTTCTATACTCCCACTGTGCATTCCTGTGCTAATTTTAAACGTATAAATTCTCACTTTTTTAAAAACCAGTTTGGAGGTCAAAATGATGCTAACTTAAAAATTATTTTGAATTGCATCGGATAAGTATTCAATTTTTGCATAAATAACATGGTGGCAAAGTCACCCCATATGGCCTGTTATTCACTTGGAAAAATCGCCACCAAAAATTTTAGCTAAATGAAGTGACAAATGCCAGTTTTGTTGGATATGCTAACTTAACAGCCTTGTCATGATCAACCATACCAAGCTTCAGCATCGCATGTGGTGTAAGACATGGTTAGATAATAAAAAGTTTGGAACTCTTCAAATTTGACCATTTCAATGACCCCAATAAAATGGAGCCCAGTTAGGTATTTAGTGGTAACTTACCTATCAGTGTTAGTTATATTGGGAGGCCCATCAATTACCTTTCATTTGTGCATAAAACATAACTACATTCCTCGTAAAATATCATGGGAGATCTCCCTAAAGCATTTTTCGAGAAGCATGGCAAAGTCACCCGGCGAGGCAAAGTCACCCCCGTTTACGGTACTTTATGGTGAATAAATGATACAGATATATCAATCATTTAAACGACTGCATGCCGCGGCGATTGCGTCCACTGTCGTTTCGCAATGCCTGGTGATCTCTGGACTGCAGAAGGACCTACTTGCCACTGCCATATGGAGCTATCTGCTAAACATGGTCGTCAGGCTGCCACACGCCTAGCCTGATGTTGGCCAGTTACCATGCGGACGATACATCACAACCCTATCAGCGACGGCAGCCAATTAATGTGATAAGTCTTCCAGTAATGATGGTCAATTGACCAGGTGACCACGTCAGCAGCGGCTGCCAGACCGTCCGGTGGTATGGTTATAATAGAAACAGCATGTTGTACGTCACTCCTGTCAAGGTCGCTATATAAGGACGGAGTCTAAGGAAGAAAGGCTTAGCAGCAAATACCGCTGAAATGAACTTCGCAATATTTACCTCATAGCCTGAGACTTCATAAGGCTCTGTTGTTAGCCGTGATCAAAACGAAACAGGAGGATATAAACGTTTACTTCGCGATCTCCGGAATCGAATTGGACCGGCCATCTATCACTCTGCCAGACACGCTGTCGCTATGGTGGCGTCTGCCGCGCCTCTCAGGGACCGTAGAACCTGCAGCCAAACTGGCCCGGTCGTGGATCTGTTTATGAAACAGGTCCGGTCGACAGGGGCGCCACGATTCGGCCGACTCATCTCCGCCCCAGGCCGGCTGCACTGAGCACTTGCTCAGTACGGAGTCGTCTGTGTCGTGGAGAGCGCCGTGCCGCCTCGTCCGGCCGAGGGATATCTGTGTTACCATGGCGACCAAGACGACAACGGCGCAGTGGATCGACGCTAATAAAGCGTCGTTCCTGCCCCCGGTGTGCAATAAAATGCTGTAAGTGCTGGGCGCTTAGTTGCGAACTTCGCGTCTGCTAGATCTGGCTTGCTCCGGTCTGGAGAGCAGACCGTGAAACTCTCACGCTCGTATTTCAAACTTTGGCATTTGAAATAACAGAAGCATCGTAATGTTGAGGTTGACGGGTGAAACGTTAACTCCGACCAGGCATTGCCTGGGTTGTGTCGCCACTCATGACCTGCTGTGGAGGTGTTCAATTTAGTCATACTACTGCAGGCAACGGAAAACAATTAGCATAAGTAAATCGGAAATAGGTCACTAATCGTAAGGCGTAATTCGCATGTAAGTCGGCTACCCGGATTAGATTTCCGCAACCAATAGCCGTAGCGGCCCGGCAATCGAATGGTTTCAATACCAAAGTTAAGATAAGATCTTGGATCGGAGAAGTGCTAGAAATTAAGGAGGCGAGCTGCATGACCGACCAAACCCCTGTTTACCAGACACGGCGATGGCCAACTGAAGGTCTTCTACGTTGGTGGCCCGAACGTGCGAAAGGACTTCCACCTGGAGGAAGGAGAGGAGGTGTTCTACCAGAGGCAAGGCGACATCAACGTCGTGACCCTGCAAAACGGCGAGTTCAAGGACATCAAAATCAAGGAAGGGGAGGTGAGCACAGCACCGGCATACAAGATGCCTAACTTCCGGTCGCCTCCTGACTCATGCTTCATCAAACATGGATGGCAATGTTTGACATCGGGGCCGTGCAACGATTTCAGTAAACATTCCTTATATGATAATGCTCAGAAGATTACCTATAAGACGTTCGAGTAGCGGCACAGCCTGTCTCATGGAAGGTGTTGCCAGGCGACTTTGACCTATTCTCTTGCCCGTCTTTTGTCAGATTTTCTTGCTCCCGGGTAAGATCCCGCACTCGCCGCAGCGCTACCAGGACACCACGGGGATGGTGATCGAACGGGAGAGGGTCAAGGACCAGGAGTACGACTGTCTTAGGTGGGTGTAAATCTATCCAGTGTCCACAAGGAGCCTTAGGACCGATGAGTTTACTTTATATCCCGAGCCGATGGTTATATCGTGCAAACGTAAGGATGCACCTGATAAAATTAAACAAAACATTCATTCAAGTTAACCCTCGCCGGCCGAGGGGGGGGGGGGCGGGTGCCGCCCCCATAGGGTTTTTTCGCGATAGCTCCGAACACGCTGGCGATAGAGAGCTGAAACTTGGCATACCTGACCTTTGATCCAAGCCGCATCTTTTGACACCAACCGCATTTTTGGGCCAGGTCAGGTCACTGACCTATGACGTCATAAGTGAACCTCTGCACGGTCTTCAGATGTCGCAACTTCGCAACGCCCTCACTGCCAGAGGAGATGTCACAGGGAAATGAAACTTGCAGGATCTAGTATCCATTTATGAGTCTCACAATTTGTATATCTCGGATTTTTCCTAAAGGTCATGTGAGGTCAGGTCATTTTCGTGACCTCACCATTATAAGTCAATGGGGAAAAATGAAAACTGCTATTCTGGCGCCGGGAACGATCTCCAACTATCTCAAGCACACAGAATCGTGATTTGATGCACTCCTTGCAAGGTTAGATGCGTCACTTTTGCAATGTTGACCTTGCGTGACGTCATTTATGACGTCATCAAGGTCATATTAGTTTTTCGTCAATAACTCCGATCAAATTGAGCTAGCGAGTCGCGAAAGCCACCAATGGACTCAGGAAGACCTGCCGAATCGAATGATATGCGACATGACCTCTTTCGACCTACTTCGTGACCTGGGGGTGCTGACCTGACCTTGACCTGAGGTCAACACCCTAAGTTGACCTGACCCGAACAAAAAGTATATCATTCGACGCGCCTGAGCGAGGCGAACACGATGCCGCCAAAATCGCGGCTCTGCGGCCGTTTTTTGCGAAGTTATTCACCAAAAACTGAACCGTGCCCTGGGGCACTTGACCTGACCTCAGAGGTCACCGGTTGACCTAGGACCTTAAAATCGGGTACCAATCTCTGCGTCTCGTAACGGCGCACACGGTCGTTTTTTTCCGCGACGCGCTAGCTCCACCAGGGGCGAAACGGCGAGGGGGGTCGTACCCGCCCCCCCCCCCTCGGCCGGCGCGTATGTAGAAAACCAATAGGTCCGGCGAGGGTTAAGTCATGCAATTGATAAGAAGTCGCTCGCAGCTACATTGGAAAACAATCGTCCTCTTATGCATAAAATAAAATGTAAATCGAAATATCTTCAAGATAATGTTCAGCTTAATATAGAACACGAAAACAATAAGCGACCTTTCAACTAACAACATCGTTGGGCTAAGGCTTTGTAAAGACTTTATTATTCGTTATGAGCAGTGTTCGCCACGGGCCGCAGAATCCCAGTCCAGCCCAGCCCAGGCCCATGGGTTCACAGCCCGGCCCAGGCCGCGAGCCCATTCATGATAAAAGCTTCAAAGCCCAGCCCAGCCCGGCCCGTCAAAAATTAGTGGATTAAAAATTATTGACACCACACAGGTATCCAAAGTTAGCAAATAAACAATATTTTGCGAGCAGCATGCACAATGCACAATGCATGCGTGCTTTATTAACTCGTTTTTGAGTCTTGCACTGTAAAAAGCTATGTAGTTATAGTTTTTGTCTCAGTTGCGAACCCCTGACTCCACTTAACAGTTCCTGGCCCAGCCCATCCACAGCTCATCGATCCTTCATATTTGAGGGCCCAGCCCAGCCCGTAGCCCAGCCCAGCCCATGGCCCACTGGGCTGGCCCGGCCCATGGCGAACACTGGTTATGAGCCGCAATGCCACCACAAAGCAGTCAGCCATATCCCGCCCAACCTGCAGATACTACGTGGGCGAGACAACAAACATTTTGTGGGAGCGCTGGTTCTACTGCGTTGACCTCGGGTCACAGCTCGGGCCGGTCATCAAGGACTTTTTCGACTCTGAGGAGCACCGCACCAACCAGCCGGGACTCGGATCCTTCATGTGTCCGGCGTACTTCGAACCGGATCCAGTCAGACAGGTGGGTGGCTTAATCTCCTATATGGTTTTCTTATATAGCAGATGTGTATTGATTCCTTGCCTTTTTAGAACGGTTATAAATAGTTCTTTCTTTGTGACTTGTGGTAAAAATGTAAACGATTTACGGATTGAGGTTATGAAAAGCTACTGTGTTTTATGGTTTCAGACTTCAGTAGTTGAACGGATTCATTCCAGGCAATACACTGAGTGAATTATGACCAGGGTTGTGCTTGACTCATGAGTCGAGTCAGAGATTTGACTCAACTCTGACTCAAATGAGTCAGGTTTGAGTCGAGTCGGATAAAATGTTGAACTGTTGAGTTGAGTCAGAGTTGAGTCGGACAAAAATATTAAGGTGTTGAGTTGAGTCAGAGTTGAGTCAGTAAAATAACTTTTGACATTGAGTTGAGTCAAAACATTTAGGAACATGAGTCAGCTGACTCATCTTTCTAGAAACAATATATATATATATATATATATATATATATATATATATATATATATATATATATATATATATAAGCTTTACATTCTCCCCCGCTTAACAACTTAGGCCTGGCCCTGCTGCCGGATTTTTTTTTTTCACCCCCCCCCCCCCCGTTCAACAACTTTTTTATCTGAGTCAATTTTGAGTCAACACACTTGACTCAACAAAAAAATTGAGTCAAGTTTGAGTCAACTCATATTTTCATTGAGCCGCTTGAGTCATGAGTCGAGTCAAGGGAAAAAATCAGCTCCTTGTTTGAGTCAGAGTTGAGTCAGGGCTTTCTGAACCTGAATGATGAGTCGAGTCGGCAAATTTTTTTGAGTCGAGCACAACCCTGATTATGACATCGTCATCTTCTTTATTCATAACTACGAAAGCCAACATCGCCGTCACTGACAACTCATGCGGCTCCCTCATTTGCCTCCTCCCCCTCGTATCATCTCCCCTAACCATGTGCTCGCCCGACAGACGGAGGAGCCGTTCTCGCTGCAGCAGTGGATCACTAAACACCGCTCTGAACTGGACTCCGAGGGCAGTAAGCGGCTGTTCGACCTCACCTACCAGACCGATGTGCTCGCGCTGGGGGAGGGCAAGCTGAAGGCGCACAACCCGCGCGCCGAGACCTTCCTCTGGCAGATCGTAAGTCAGTGTAGGGTTAGGTGTTAGGGATCGGGTTTCTGGTGGAACAAGAAACTTAATAAGTGAATTTAAATTGTGAGAATAATAATTTAAATTATTAATTGTGAGATAAAAAGTAGGTATATGAAATGTTCCCACTTACTAAAGCTCATAATTACTCTACTCTGACACAAGCTACGCTGAAAGTATTCCTCTTCAGCTGCATTTCTGGCAGCAGCAGTTTGCCGATAATGACAAATGGCAATACGTGTAGAGCATCCACTGGTTATATCTTCACTGTTCGGCGGAAGGGCAGCTGAGGGGTGGAAGCGGTGAAGTGAGGTGCAAGGTGAACATTCACTGAATGCGCTGTGCTTGCTGTTATGCAGGGGAGCAGCTGTGGGGTGGAGGTAGTGAAGCTAAGTTCGAACATCCACTGACGATGCTGTATCCGTTCGACAGGAGGGTAGCTGCGAGGTCGAGGTGGCCGGTGAGCTGCACACCCTGGAGGCCGACTCCACGCTCCTGGTGCCCGCCGACGCCGTGTTCACGTCCTCCCGGCCCGAGGGCGGCGTCACAATGAGCATCACCATGGACCCGCTGACCAAAAGCCGGGCCTTCGGCCACCTAAACCAGTGATTGACATCTCCTAGCGCCATCACAATGGGCTGACCAGGGACGAAGCGTCCGGTCACCTGAACCAGTGAAATACGACCTCCGGGCATGCGTAGAACAGTGGAAAAAGACACCTGAGACTGAAAGACAGCTTTCGGATACTACGACAGTGAACCACGCCCTCCAGACATTTGTGACAGTAGACCACAGCATCCGAGACAGTGGACCGCGACATCTGAGACAGTGGACCCACGACATCTGAGACGATGGACCGCGACATCTGAGACGGTCGACCCTCGACATCTGAGACGGTGGACCGCGACATCTGAGACGGTGGACCCACGACATAAGAGACAGTGGACCCACGACATCTGAGACGGTGGACCGCGACATCTGAGACGGTCGACCCTCGACATCTGAGACGGTGGACCGCGACATCTGAGACGGTGGACCCACGACATAAGAGACAGTGGACCCACGACAGCTGAAACGGTGGACCGCGACATCTGAGACGGTGGACCGCGACATCTGAGACGGTGGACCGTGACATCTGAGACGGTTGACCGCGACATCTGAGACGGTTGACCGCGACACCTGAGACGGTCGACCCTCGACATCTGAGACTGTGAACCACGACATCTGAGACAGTGGACCCTCGACATCTGAGACAGTGGACCCTCGACATCTGAGACAGTGGAGTAGACCACGACCTTCGAACGCCTGAGACGGTCGCCCATGACTTTCGAACATCTCAGACAGAAGCCCATGACTTTTGAACGCCTGAGGAAATGGCTCACGACTTTCGAACGCCTGAGACAGTGGAACACGACACCTCAGGCACTGGACTATTACACCTGTGACGATGAACCACGACCTCTGAGACAAAGAAACACAAACTTCGACTGCGTGAGCCGCAACGGTGAAGGTATGACGTTCGAAGGTTGAGCAGGCACAGGGAATAGCAGCGACACTTAAAAGTGGGCGGCGCGTGACAATGCAAAGGACAGCAAAGGTCAGGGACCAAAAGTGCAAATGTGTTATCAAAAGGAGTGCACATTGTGCCGAAGTTTATGCTACGTAGAATGGCTTTTTGGGGAAAGTGCAATCTAATTGGTAGATGCCTGGAAGTGCTAATGCTAGGCTGTGCTTCATGTATTAGTGATGTGCTTCCTGTCCGTTATACAGGGTGATCCAAAAATTTTGGAACCCCTAATTTAAAATGTCTATAAGTCCAAAAGTATTCATTTTATTGACAAATTGCAAACACCATTAGAAAAAGCATTAAATCCTCTATAAAACCACGTCAAGTTGGTGCATGTATGCTGTAATCGCCAATTGTTAACAATGCACTGAAATCCGTTAGCACTCCATCTGTTGTTTTTTACGAACAACACCACATACAAATTCAATTTTACTACATACAGGTTTACGCAGAAGCACACAATGAAACAGATACACGCATCCTAGCTTCCGCTGTTCATCTCAGCATGTGCTCAAACCGAGCTCCGTGGGCCGTCACGCAGGCCTGCAGTCGCTTGCGGACGGCTCAAACTGCGCGGGCCAGCAGTCTCTGGGACAACTGGTCCCAGCAGGCCGTCAGCCTTTCCTTCAGCTCCTCGATGGTGCTGATCCTCTTGACCTCTGTACACCATTCGCTCCAGTTCGCTCCACACGAATAAGTTAAAAGGGTCGAGGTCAGGACTCTGCGGTGGCCAGGCATCTGGCTCGATGAAGGCCGAGCAGGCCTGTTCCTGAAACTCGACCACTGAGTGGGCCGTGTGGCACGGAGCTCCGAATGACATTTTTTTGCTCCTGTTGAAATTTAAATTCATTACAATAGCACGTAAATGAGCTATTTTTATTCATGAACCTCCGACATGCGACATTGTCAGAACAGCAAACCGCAAATCAGTGATTCGCGGATAATGTTGAAAACCGTTTCACTGATTTTCGTGACACAAATTTTATAGGCATACAACTAGGGTACCTAATATTTATAGTAATAGTTAAGTTCAATTAACTTGATTTTATAGAGAATTGAACGCTCTTTCTAATGATGTTAACAATTTGTCAATAAAGTGAAAACTTTCGGACTTACAGACATTTTAAGTTAGGGGTTCCATTTTTTTTTAGATCATCCTGTAAGTACTCATACTCGTCATGTTGTAAAGTTCAAAACTGTGATGAAATAAATCAAAACATTATAACATTTGCTTTTGAAATTCATGCATTATTGCTTGAAATATGCATTGGACGTACCTATATAAAATACACCAATAACCAACAAGGGTATTTGTAAAGAGAGGGGAGATAATTTAAGTCCCGATTGGGAAGATGTAAGATATAAAGAAAATAACAACTTATTGTGTGTTCTGGCTGGTTTCAATTATGGTTTATTGTTGTTAAGAAAGAAAAGGAAAACGTAATAGATGCTCTGAGGCTAGATATTAATGTGTCTTAATAACTTGGACATATTAAATGCGGCATGCAAATAATAAAACGTGTCCTGGCAGGCAATAGTTCTATGCCTACCAACCTAAACCAACCAGCAAATGGTTGCAAACTTTAGAGCAATATTGAGACACTGTCTCTACTATTTCAGTTTACGAGCCTTCGATTATTTGTCAGAAAATGTTGCAGGTTGAGGTGGCAGTAGTCATTTGATCCCAAACGACCCCTATTTTCTTATTTCTGTTAAATGAACGATGACTGCGATGACCCTTTTGTTATGACTGCGACTATTCTACCAACTCCACCAGCAGCTGGGCGTTAAACGGACCATGAACATTGAACTGTTCGAGGAAGTACTCAACTTGCCCTCTAAAGTGATCATCTGTTAGCGCGAAGTGCCGGTGTCCTCAGCACTTCAGGCGTCCTCCAACCCCTTATTAAAAGTCTTTATTCGCATAGTCCACACTCCATGCCACAGGCACAGTCCATGGCTTCGTCATGAGAAGCTTTTTACGATGCTGGAAAAGTCGCGTTCAACAAACTCGTAGGTGCCTCCTTTTAGTTGCCTTGAGTTGTCATATTTTCATCATAGCTTATATTATTCCGAATTCGTAACTTTATCAGTCGATGAGCATCCGTTGAGTTCCATTGACCTACGGAGTGAATAATCGTTGGCTCGACACCGATATATTGCTATGGTTCAGAGCGGAACATGCTAATGCAGACATAGGCGGCGGAACGGGGAGGGCACCGAGGCACCGTGCCCCCCTTTGATTTTGGCATTAGCGGACGGAAGGTGAAATATTCGACGATAGCAGCGCTATGGGAACGTGTGGAGAGTATGAGAACTAAAGCTTCAGTAAAATTCTGCATGGAAAGAACGGGACCAAAAGTCGGCAGTGCCCCCCCCCCCTTAATTGAAGGTGTTCCGCCGCTACTGAATGCAAAGCATTCTAAATTTTCTCCAGAAGCTAATCACAGGCGAACACGTACTTACATGAGTGGGTATTTAAAGACAGCATTGCTATAATAGGGAGCGGTCAGAGTATTATATAGGAAACGGTCGAACAAATTATAGAATGATAAGTGGTGAATATCAGTAAATGATTGAGGTCAGAGTAATAGTGCCTACTTCATCGAACTATAATATTAATTATGTGGCGCAACTAACAGAGACCTTTGTTATGCTTTTTCGTTCTCCCGATAGATCAATGGCAGACATATTCCTGCACTGTATCTACTACCTATCTATACATCAATAATGCTTTACAATTTCAGTAATGTACTGGGACGAGTAATTATCCACTATCCAGAGTCGATTTTCATCGCTATTTTATCCATTTATCTGTAACTTTAACCTAATAGCCACTTTTAATTAGCCAGAATGGAAAGGTTCTCCGGGTTATGATGAGTGTTGTTTGTTTATCGTTAGAATAACCAAGACGACCAGCTTTAGCCTAGCATTGTTTGGCCAGTTCATGATGTCAAAACTTCCAGAAAGACAAATCGGTACCACGAAAGTCAGCCCCTTCGGTGTGGTCACCTACCTTTAAACAACCACCTATATACCTACATTCAAAACAGTTAACTACATTTTACACAATTAATATTGCTCGTGTATAATACGGTTGCTGTTCCTATACGCGACACGTGTCCCCATAAACACAACACTTGCAAACAACATCCGTTCATGGGCCTCGTTTCATAAAGCGAGTCCGTAACTTACGCCGGTTCTGGTCTTGTATTGCGAGTGCATGTGAAGAGCTAAATTTATTTCCCCTTCTCCCTTCTCTTCTTGTTTGCAAGATAAATAAATTTAACGATTCAAACTAACGTCGTCACTTCACATGCACTTGCAATACAAGACCAAAAACCGCTTTAAGTTATAACGGACTCGCTTTATGAAACGAGGCCATGGTCGCTAATTCTGTATAAGCTTCAGGCCACAGCCCATGGCTACGGCCAGACGTTACTCGGTGTTCCTGCGGCGGGCAATGGTGCTGCTGTGGCGAGCAGAGGCACAACTGTGGCGAGGTGCGGCGCGCAATCTATCTAGGTACTAACCTATCTGGCGAGGTTAATGATGCAACAGAGTACGATGATGCGCACCCCGTCTTGCTATCATAAAGGTTATTTGGGGATAACGAATTAAAATGCGGTACAGGTCGCTTCAGATGCAGAGACACGATTCCTCTAGATGAAAAACTCGGGAACGTTTTACTCATAAAAGTACAAAAGGTTTAAATGGCTCATTTTAAGTACAGATCAAAGTGCTGCCCGCCAGGGCCATATGTAGATATCTTATATTATATCTCTATGACCATGGCCACGGTCTGGTAATCGACTTACTGCCCAAAGTCATCCGTAACCTGTAGGCTGTATTAGCCATAAGGTCAGGAAATATTGACGCAAAAGCAGGACTAGAGCTTACCACAAAACTTTCGGGACACACTACAGTATTTAATAAAAACGTCCCATCTCACCACAAATAGAAGTGGCTAGGTCGGTTGCCTCATGAACAACCCTCAGTGGGACCACGGCCTGCAGGCATTTACGTCTGGATTCATTCCGAGAGCAGCGACCGACCAACGCTCGCTCGCTCGTGCCCGGCCCCCGTAACAGGACGACACAGGACGTCGTGTTTATTTACACAGTGGACGGGGCGGGTCCGGAGTGAAAACAGGTCGACGACAGAATCGGTGGGCTCTGTATGAGGGGCGGATTGACGACCGTACGTCAGGACGTCCTGGTATGCTATGATTAGGGAGTGTATTGAATGGATGTGAGCAATCAATGAATGAAAGAGTAGCAGCATTCAATGAATGAACGAATGAATTGATGAACGAATAGATTATTGAATGAATTAATGGATCACGACGTTTGAATGGAGAGATTTAGAGTTGCGTACCAACTACCAAATGCATCAGTAGTGAGAGATTGAGAGATTTCTTGGGAATGAATATGATAAGGACAAGGTAATAAAACGGACGTGTAGGCCTTTGAACAAATAGACATACCTACCTACAAATTAGGTGGTTGACAGATGGCTCCACTCCGGAATCTGCATCACCATATATTTTTTACAGTTGTATCACCCTTAGCAGTTGGTCAGTTTTCAACCACTTACTCAGCTGGTGCAGCTGTGACTCATTCTGAACTTTAAAAAGTCATATCACTTCACCATAGCCTGGTCATCTGACCTCGGGTGCCTCAGGGCGTATTTTAACATGTTAACTGGGTCGGCAATTGCCGACCCAGTCACGGAGAATGCCGACCCAGTGACAGCCGTTTGCCGACCCAGTTGCCGCCCCCTCTAGGATGCAGCACGCACATGCAGGCTAGGTGCCGTCATTCATAGTGAGGCTGCTGCCCTCCGAAATGATAATGCCGCCTCTTAAAGTGAAGCAGCCGTCTATAGAAAGTGATGATCCCGCAACTCAATGTGACAGTGCCGCCCCTAAATCTGTTAGTAGCCCCACTCAATGTAATGGTGCCGCCCTTCTAAGCATCTGTGGAGCCCCTCAATGTGATGATACCGCCCCTCAAGAAGATGATGCCGCCCCTTTCAGTATCGGTGGCGCCCCTCAATGTGATGATACCGCCCCTCAAGAAGATGATGCCGCCCCTTTCAGTATCGGTGGTGCCCCTCAATGTGATGGTTGCCGCCCTCAAAGTGCCGGTGGCGCCCCTGAATGTGATGGTGCTGCCCGCAAACGAGTCGATGGCGCCCCTCAAATGATGCTGCCGTCCCTTAAAGTGCTGGCGCCGCCCCTTAATAGTGTCAGTGACGCCCTTCGAAGTGTCAGAGGAACCAACCAATATAATGGTGCCGCCCCTCTAGGTTTCCACATAGCCCCTCATTGTGATGGAGCCGCCCCTCAAGCAGATGATGCCGCCCCTCAAGAAGATGATGCCGCCCCTGAATGTGATGGTGCTGCCCGCCAATGAGTCGGTGGCGCCCCTCAAAATGATGCTGCTGCCCCTTAAAGTGTTAGTGCCGCCCCTTATAGTGTCAGTGACGCTCTTCGAAGTGTCAGAGGAACCCAGCAATATAATGGTGCCGCCCCTCTAGGTATCCACCTAGCCCCTCATTGTGATGGAGCTGCCCTCAAGCAGATGATGCCGCCCCTTTCAGTATCGGTGGCGCCCCTCAATGTGATGGTGCCTCCCTCAAAGTGCCAGTGGTGCCCCTAAATGTGATGGTGTCTCCTGTCAACGAGTCGATGGCGCCCCTCAAAATGATGCTGCCGCCCCCTAACAGTGCTGGTGCCGCCCCTTACAGTGTGTGTCAGTGGCGCCCTTCAAAGTTTTGGTGGAACTCATCAATACAATGTTGCCGCCCTCTAACTTTCTGTAACGCCCCTCCATATACATAATGGTGCCGCTTCTCAAACCATCCGTGGCGCCCCTCAAAGTGATGGTGCCGCCCCTTACAGTGTCGGTGGTGTCTCCTCAAAAGTCAAGGTGCCGCCTCTTAAAGAAATGCTGATGTCCCTCGAAGTGTCGGAGGCGCTCCTCAATGTCATGTTGCCGCCCCTCAAACCTTTCGTAACGCCCCTCCACGTCATGGTGCCGCCCCCTCCCCCCTCCCAATGTGCTCATGGCGCCCTTAAATGTGATAGTAACGCCGGTCAAAGTGCTCCTGGCAGTGTCGGTGGCGCCCGTTATAGTGTCGGTGGCGCCCCGAACAGTATCGGTGGTGCCCCTCAAAGTGATGATGTCATCCTCAAACAAACGGTGGCGCCCTTTGAAGTATCGGGAGTCCCTAAATATCATACCTATTGCCGCCCATTAACGATCTGTAGCGCCCCTCCATATGATGGAGCCGCCCCTTAA